CAGCTTCATTGCTGCTTTTCCCTCACTTCCCCTTATCGGCGATAAACGTGGTCACCAATCAGAGCAAAATTCACACAACTTTTGAAGGCTATCTTGCGTTGTTTCCAGTTTTTGACAGCTATGAATAAACTTTAGCATGTAGGTTTTTCTCTGAACATAAACTTCAATTCACTTGGCTAACTATCTGGGTTTGTGAGTGCTGGATCTCATGGTATGTTTTACTTTATAAGCAACTGACAAACTGTTTTCTAAGGGAGCAGTATACAATATGCATTCACATCAGCATTGAATGAAATTCCTACTGCTCTGCAGCCTCACCATTTAAAGCATTAAAAACAAATCTGCCAATCTATTAAGAATGTATTTGTATCTCAAACAAAAGCAAAATCTGCCAGAGTCAGTTTTGACTCACAGTGACACTATACCAGAGTAGAGCTGCGTTCTACATGGATTTTCAATAGCTGAATTTTTTAATAGTCCATTAAAACTTTCATCAGAAGTGCCTCTGCATAGATTCAAACCTCCAGTCTTTTGGTTAGCAAATGAATACACTAACCATTTGCAGCACACAAGGATTCCACTGGTAGCTGTAAAAAAAAGATGGCATCATCCATTCCTCCCACAACCTTCTCTACTTCTTATATGGGTCCAATAATCCATTCCAATGGCCACACAGAACACAAAGACAATACTCAGTTATGAGGTTTAGTTGGGAAGTTGTTGTTGTTAAGTGCCTTCAAGTCAATTCTGACCCATAGCAACCCTGAATTGGGTTTCCAAGGACCGGCTGGTGAGCTTGAACCGCCGACCTTGTGGTTCAAATCAACTTTGCGGTCCAGCATTAACCCACAGCACCACACCAGGACTCCATTAGGGAGTTAATAGGTTACAATTCAGGATCAGAAAACGCTCATGGCACAGTTGTTTCTGTCAGCTGCTGATAAATGCCCACAGGACACACCACTTCACCTAAAGGTACTCATCTCTAGATCTTTATGATTGTTGCTGTTGTTGTTAAGTGTCATCAAGTCGGTTCCTACTCATAGAGACCTTGTATAGTGCTCAAAGGAGCACCTAGTGAGCTAGAACCACCGACCTTGTGACTGAATGCTTATTGTACAGTGCCATACCAGGACTAGTTAGGAGAAATATACAATATGCACAGTGCAGTCAGATAAACACATAACTCTTCATCCTTTTTATATACACACAACAGTCCAGCCTGGACTGTCTCTTCATTTACGTGCATATATGGCCTTGGACTTCTCACAGGGTAGACCTAATAGTCCCTAGCCCCCTATCAGTCATCTTGTTTAGTTGGTCTGGCTTTTTGCCTCAGGTGACTCCAGCAGCAGCTTTTCTGTGAGCAGCAGCATAACATCTCTTATACATTCCTTCCATGCATTACAGTTAACAATAAGCAAAGTAACCATTTAAGAGTCAAGTTTCACTTCCCATGTTCTTTCCTTCTTTCTCTTACAATTCACTGTTATTTCCATGAGTCTGGGACCATTACAATGAACCCTGCTTCTGACACCAAACCATTTCTCTCACAGCACTCTCTATGAAGCAAGGTTTGATAATCTGTTGTAATGGCCACACAGAATTAATACTCACAGTTTCGGGGTTTATTAGGGAAGTTAACAGGTTATAATACAAAATCAGAAAATACTCAGAGCCCAATTGTTCCAGTCAGCTGCTGGAAAATGTCCACAGGACACACCATCCTACCATAAGCCTCAGATTGAAGGCACTTGGCTCTAACTCAGTGGGTCAGCAATTCATGCTTCCTCACTTAAGTGTCTGGAGACACATCCCACTCGACAAGTAAGCGTTTCATCCAAAGTCACTCAGCTTTACTTGTTCCATGGGCTGGGACGCCCACTGCTCTCTCTCATTCTCTGGTTCTAGGTACTGCTTCTGCTGCTCCTCTGCCACAGCTGTCTCCTGGGTCCAGGAGGTTCACTGCACGGGGATCTTAGATCTAAAAGGACATGCTCCCCTCTCCTGGCTCTGCTTCCCTAATGGTGGTGAGATTCCCCAATCTTGCTCATTTTAAACCCATGCTAGAGTTTCAAGGTTTTACAATTACAATGAACTCTGCTAACATCCACAGCCAAATGTCACCTATCAGTTTCTTCTCCCACCTTCTCTTATCCAGGCGCAGCAGTGTAGAAACGTTTGGTGGGAGTTACAGACTAAGGCTAGAAGAGATATTAGATAATTCACTACACTATAGTAGTAGCTCATTGGGATTTTAACTTGCCTTTTCTTATATTTTTTCTTTGGGGAAAAAAACAACAACAAAAAAACCCCATAGTATTTTATTGTGTTTCCAGTGAAGGATTAAACACAGCAGTTTAGGTTCCCACTCAATTTGTACACAGGTTGTTCAGTGACGTTGGTTATATACTTCACAATGTGTGAACATTCTTATTATTTCCATTCAGTTTGTTTTGTTTCCATCCATTCTCATCTATTTATTTTCAGAGCCGAATTGTTATTAACTACAAGGTGACCTCAGGTGTTAGTTTTGGTACAAGATTTGAAGAGTATCTCAGGGATTCCTCCAGTCTCACCAGCCACTCCTCAGAAACCCTACGTTGTTGTGGTTAAGTGACGTCCAGAAGGTTCTGACCCATAGCAACCCTGTATAGGGTTTCTCAGGAGCAACTGGTGAGCCTGAACCAAACAGTTCAAAAAGACCCTGAAGTTCAAACAGACTTTGCAGTCCAGCGCATTAACCCACAGTACCATACCAGGCCTCCCTGGAAACCTTATACAGGGTTGCTATGAGCTGGATTTGACTCAATACCACTTAATAAAAACAATATATTTTCTTTGGTGAATATGTTTAAATCTCTTGTCCATTAACACAAAAAATTGAAAAAAAAAAAGAAAAAAGTTTTGTATACTTGTTGAATTTTTAAGAGTTCTTTATGTATTTTTGGTACAGGTCCTTTACTGGATATGTGATTTGCAAATATTTTCTCCCAGACTATGAATTGTCACTTCATTACCTTAACAATGTCTTTTGCAAAGTTGTCAAGTTGTTAGGTGTCAGTTAAGAGTCAGTTCTGACTCATAGTAACCCTGTATAGGGTTTCTGAGGAGTGACTGGTGAGTCTGAACCTCCGACCTTGTGGTTCAAACCAACTTTATAGTACAGTGTTTTATCACACAGTGCCATACCAGGACTTGTGGAGTAGAAGTTTTTTAATTTTAATGAAGGTCAACTTACCCTCTTTTTCTTTTACAGATCATGCTTTGGTGTTGTATCTAAAACTCAACAACAAACATAAGGCAATGCAGATTTTCCTTTAGGTTTTTTCATAGAAGATTTTATATTTTTATATTTTGCATTTTGGTCTATGATCCATTTTGTTAAATTTTTTGTAAACTTTGTTAATCATGTATGGGATCTATGCAAAGCTTTTTTGTTTTTTTGCATGTTGATGTCTAATTTTTCCAACACCAATTTTTTTAAGTATATTCTTTCTCCATTGAATTACCTTTCAGCTGGCTCTATTTGTGTAGGTTGACTTCTGGACTCTCTACTGTGCTTCATTATTTTATAAGTCTAGTCTTCCATCAATATTGCTCAATTTTGATTTCTGTAGCTTTTTAGGAAGTTTAAGAATCATATAATGTGAACCACCACATTTGTTCTTCAGAATTGATTACACTAATCTAGTGTCTTTGTTTCTAAGATAAATGTCAGAATTCAGCTTGCAAAAATGCTTGCAGAAATTTTATGAGATTAAACGGGGGAAAAGTGACATCTTAACAATATTAGGTCTTTTAATCCACGGACATAGATATCTTTCTTCATTTAGTTAGAACTTTAATTTTCTTCATGTAGTTTTCAATATATAGATCTTGCACATACTTTTATTAGATTTATTACCTAAATTTTATTGTTTGGGACTATTGTAAATGATATATTTCATTTAATTTCAAATTCCAGTTGTTCATTTCCAGTATTTAAAAACAATGCACTTTCATATACTGACCTCCGATGCTGTGACCTTGCTAAATTCTAGAAGTTTTTTCAGATTCCTTTAAATTTTCTATAAGGACTATTATATTGTCTGTGAGTTTTAATTCCACTAAGGAGCCATGGTTAAAACAAAGTGAAATATTAAAATAGAATAAAATTAAAAAAATAAAAACAAAACACAATTTTAAATGTAATTTTCTTTTTTTAAGTAAAGGATTTTACTTTTAAATTTAATGTTCTTGAATAACAACAGGTTAATATGTGTAAGGGGAATTTGGTGGCTCTGCACAATAAACACTAGACTGCAAACCACAAGGCCAATGGGTTGAGCCCACCAGACACTCTGTAGGAGAAAGATGAGGCTTTCTGCTCTCTCAAAGATGTAGTTTCAGAAACCCTACCCACACACGGTCGCTATGAGTCGGAATCAACTTGAAAAAACTTAATAACAACAACAATATGCATAAATCTGTGGAGTCAAGTATCCTCATAAAATAATTTCATTTTAGAATATTTCTATTATGCATCAAGTAATGCTCTGCTGGCATAGTGATATTTAAAAAATGGATGTTAATCAGACTCCGAAACACCTGTTACATATTTGTCAGAAGCAAGCAACCAGTTATAGAATAAAAAAAAAAAAAAAAAAAGCTCTAAGTGCAAGAAGCAGTGAAACAAATCAGAGATGAGGGGGTCTCATTTTGAAACTGATTCTCCGAGGAAAGTTATTACTCACTGAATAGCTTTGGCATAAATATGTGAAGGGAAAGAACAGGTGGCTTTCTATTGGGTCTTTTCAGTCATGCATGAAGACAAACATCAAACTTCCCCCCATTCTGACTTTTCTGATAAGCTTATTTTAAGACTGTTTATAGACTGTTATGTTGCTCAATTATGAAGTATTTCCCGTTAAGGAACAAATAACTCACCAGTAAGCAGGCTGGAATAAAACCTTCATCTGTGCAGTGTTCTGCATATTCTTTCAGATTTGAACTTTCCAAAATAAAAGTCTGGCAGGTAGAAGTGAGGTTTTCTTGTTGTAAGTAACCTAAATGAAGAGTAACAGTTTAGGTAAAGTCAATTCAATAATTTTTATAAAATTGCTGTTGGAAGTCCTAGAGTAGAAACCAATTTCATGGAGGAGCCTCAGCTGAAAGTGCTATTATTAAGCAGGCTTGCCCTGGTATGTCATGTTGCACTACAAAGTTGTTGTGGTTGTTAAAGCGCCATCGAGTTGCTTCCGACTCATAGCAACCCAAGTAGGGTTTCTGAGCAGCAACTGGTGAGTTCTGAACCGCTCGCTGACCTTGAGGTTCAAACCAACATTGTGTCCAGTGCTTATCCTACAGCACCACACCAACACCAGGGCTCCAACAGAAAGTAGAATTCAGAGGTGGTCCTTTGATATGAAACAACTAGAAAAATAAGGTGTTTGATATAGTGTGATTACTTCACAGTAGTACTTTTGTGAAAACTAGTCTTTACTAGTTGTTTTAATAATAGCACAGTGGCTCTGTAGGTTAAGCCCTAGACTGCTAACCACAAGGTAAGCAGTTCGAGCTCAACAGCCATTCCTTGGGAGAAAGATTAAGCTTTCTGCTTCTGCAAAGATTTACAGTCTTTGAAACCCTATGCAGAGTCATTATGAGTGAAAAGTGGCTCGACAGCACTTAATAACAACAAATATTGACTAGATTGCTCCTGGAAACCCTATACAAGGTTGCTATGAGTCGGAATTGACTTGACAGAACTCAACAGGTTAATATCTGGTGTTCTCTCACTCACTGGATAACGAAAAATCTGTTTCTCCCACCAAGGCTATTAATTTGTTGAAGTAAAAAGTGAACTCCTTTTCTGATTTTTAATTTCTGGCCTTCAAGAATCAAAGTCCTACTATTTGAAGAAGAACTTAATATTCATGTCTAACATTTATGGAGCAATGTTCTATATCAGTGCTTAATACTCTCACACATAAAATCTTTTTTTTTTTTTAAGGTTTTTATTGTGGATTGAGTAAAGGTTTTCAGGGCACATCATCGGTTTCACATTCAAACATTCATATACCTTGTTTCATTACATTGATTATAATCCCCTCCACATACCATCAGTTAACAGAGTTTCTCTCTATCCTCTTTAGCTTTTTTTTTGGGAGAAACTTTGCCTTTTTGGAATTTACAGTCTCGGCTTTTAGGGAAGGTTTTTACATTTAGTGGGTATCCAGGGCTCATGTATGGAATTACTAACCAGCATAACTGAATAATCAGATAAGGGACATTTTGCCATGTCTGCTAGGTGGCTAAAGTCTGATCCTCAGAGCCTATGGTTTGGACGGTCCACATAAAATCTTTTATTTGTCCTCACAGTCTATACCTGTTTTTGTGTTTCTTAGGATTACTGGGGTTTAACTAACCAAATACCACAACCAGTCGTATTATTATCAAAAGAGCGCTGAATACGATATCATGAGGCCATTTTCTTATGTTCCCTGTTAAAATAAACATTGGAGCTATGGAAAAATTACTTCACTTCTTCAAGACTCACTTTTCTTACCCATGATGTATCAGACTTGCCTTCACTTTGGGAGCAAATCTGGTCACCTTACTTCCTTGTACAAAGCCCTAAATCACCTCCCACAGTGCTCACTCTGAACTTCTGTTTTGACTGACATCACAAAGAATGGTAGATTAAGGATCTTGGACAATCATCTCCTTAATGTAAAAAGAACACTGGCAAAAATGTTCAAAACCAAGAACTTCGGGAATTAATCAAAGGCTTGTAACAACTGGGGAACATTTATTCAAGAAAAATAGATCAATTTTGGTAAGATTAGTAATCTCAGCAGCATTTTAACTTGCCTTATTCGCACATCTGTCTCCCAGCTGACAGCCATTTAAACACTCCTGATGATGGTGAAAACCACTAGCCAAACAGTCACTGGAGGGGTCAGATGATAGTGGAAGGTTTTCAAGCCCTATTTCCGAAGAACTGTTGTTCCTTAGAACACTACACTTGCATGGGTTATCTTTATTTGACCTGAATCCCACTAAGGCGGGGTGGGGGGTGGGGAAGAGGAGGCATTTGCTGAAAACAAAGTGACAATTGTTAACACTTTTGCTACATGAAGTGAACTGTTGGGGAAACCAATAAGCTAACCAAAAAGATTACATGGAGAAATAGGAGAATGAGCTGTTCACATGGACATATAACTTTGATAGATGGTTTTATTTTATTTAAAGTGCTGACATGTTCCTATGATACTACAAGGTCCTATGCATGTGTAGGGCTGTGCACATTCTGAAGAGGCTCGAAGTTCTCACCTATAGCTCACATTAAGCTGTTAGTTACCTGGGCAGAGTGTTGATGGTGTACTTCAACAACACTGGAGAAAGAGTTCCTTAACAAACGCTGGGGGATATATTGATTCAGGATTTAAAGAAGTCAATGTCCAGTTATTAGCTGACCACTGAGCTAACCAAGGAGCCTTGGTGTGACACTGTAGGATAAGCCAATTACAACGCTGGCTGGTCAAACCCATGAACTATGCCTTGGAAACCCTATACAGGGTTGCTGGGAGTTGGAATTCACTTGACAGCACTTAACAAAAAATAACAAGCTAACCAAACAGCTTCCGCAGACAGCATGACAAAGAATGCAGACTTTATAGTATTAGTTTAGGAAATGCACTGTGCAAACAGAAACACCTGAAACAACAAAAAACTCTGAAGAGGAAAAAGAATTTGATCTCCAGAGCGGCCACACTACATTACTTACACTGTCCAAACTCACCAAAAGTCATGACACATGCAGAGAAACAAGTATGACCCATAAACAAGTCATAAAACAGGCAGTCAATAGAAACTGTCTCTGAAGACAGACAACGATTTAAAATCAACTATTTTAAATATGTTCAAAGAACTGTAGGAAATTATAAGAACGATACCTCATCAAATAGAGAATAGAAATAAGGAGATAATTGCTTAAAAAAAAAAAAAATAAATAATAAAAAGAACCAAGTAGAAATACTGGAGGTGAAAAATTCAGTAACTGAAATGAAAAATTCACTAGAGGAGTTCAACAGTAGATTTGAAGAGGTCGTAGAATCGGTGAATTGTTTAATAGGTCAGTGATATCGTCTAGGCTGAGGAAAAGAAAGAAACAAAAAAAGTGAACAGAGCCTCAGAGATCTGTGGTACACCATTAAGCATAAGCCTAAAAGAAATCTCAAGGAGAAAAGAGATTGAAAAAAATAAATAAATAAAAAGAACATGTGAATAAAAAATGCCTTGTTATTGTTGTTAAGTGTGGTCAAGTCGGTTCCGACCCATAGTGACCCTGTACAGGATTTCCGAGGCTGTACATCTTTACAGGAGCAGAAAGCCTCATCTTTCTCCCGCGGAGCGTCTGGTAGTTTCGAACTGCTGACCTTGCAGTTCGCAGCCTGATTCGTAACAACTACGCTACCAGAGCTCCTAAAATGCCTTAGAACTCCCCAAATTTGGTGAAAAACATTGAACATAAGTAAGCAGGGTTAATTCAAAAGGATCCACACCTAGACAAATCATAATCAAACTGTTAAAAGACAAAGAATCTTGAAAACAGAAAAATGACTCATCACATATAAGGAATTAACACCTCAATATGATTAAGTTGAATACTCATAACTAACCATGGAGATTAGAGATAGGGAGATGACATTTAAGTTAGTGTGTTTGCACACACACATGAATGGAGTAGAAAGGACGGACCAAAATAACAACAAAAAACCCATATATCAAAAATTCTATATCCAGAACAATTCTCCTTTAAAATGAAATCAAGGCATTGTCAGCTACATAAAAACTGAGAAAATTTGTTGCTAGCAAAACTGCTCTACAAAAAACTTTAAAAGAAGGTCTTCAGGGTGAAATGAAAAGATACTCGACAGTAACTGAAATTCACATGAAAAAATAACTAGTATCAGTAAAGATAACTATACAGGTTAAATATAATAGTATAAATGTTTTCTTTGTAACACTTTCTCTCCTCTGCTTTAAAAAAACCCCACAAGGATATGATTATAAATGTTTTACATGTATAAGGGTATGTAATTTTTATGAAAACAAAGGATAGAGGAGAAAAGGAACTAAACTTTTACATGCTATTGAAATTAAATTGGTATTAACCTAAATTTCTTGCTGTTGTTGTTATGTGCCTTGTACAGGGTTCTGACTCATAGCAACCTTGTACAGGGTTTCTGAGGAGCGGCTGATGAGCTTGAACCGCTGACTTTGTGGTTAAAACCAACCTTGTGATCCAGCGCATTACCCTGCAGTACCATGCCAGGAAATCCTAATCCAAACTAGATAGTTGCAAATACAAACTAGATTGTTGTAATCTCCAGAGCAATCTGTAAGAAAATAATTTAAAAATATAAAACAAAGGACATGAAAATAGAACTAAAATTGTAACTAAAGACAAGCCTCTGTCCAAGGACAATGTTTAGCAGCAGAAATAAAAAGAAATCAAAATGGGACATAAGTATGACAGGAGGAAAAAAAATGAACTAGAAAACAGAAAAACAACAAAGAGTATCTATGAAACAAAATTCAACTGATTTTCAGTAAAGGCACCAAAACAACCTAATGCGTAAACTGTCTTTTCAGTATCTAGTTCTGGGACAAATGATTATTCATATGCAAAAAAGATGAAGGTAGAATGTTACTTCATATCATATACAAAAAATTATTCAAAATAAATCAAAGACCTAAATGTACAGAGAAAAACTGTTTCTGCTAACTACTGATATAAAGAAAAACAAGGACACAAATGAAAAAATAGTGCTTTGGCTCACAGGAAAGCATTTAGACACCCAAAGAAAGCTTTTATTTTAGACACTCCTACTTCATTAGTGGTTACGAATCGGGTTGCAAGCCTCAAGATCAGCAGTTCGAAACTACCAGCTATTCCACGGGAGAAAGATGAGGCTTTCTGCTCCCGTCAAGATTTACAGCCTCGGAAACCCTGTACAGGGTTGCTATGAGTCGGAATCTACTCGACAGCACATAACCA